TATATTCCAATCCTATCAGGATTTGTATTTTAGACCTATTGCAGATTATACACCAATATTAATTAGCAAGGCAACAGGAAGAAAAGCTGATATTCAAATACATATGGCTTAGACTTGTTTCCAGATTTCATCCTTAATAATATACCAAGGTATTTTCTCTAAAATAGCTCCCATAATTGAGTCTTTAAATGATATAGCAGTGACTGTACTATAGAACTTTCAAATAAACAATCTCCCTCCCTCCTGGGGATCCCACTTCTGGTCACTGTAAGTGGTAGCTTTCGCCTGCAGAAAAGATAGATCTGGGTGCAGGGAAATCGCTCCCCCACTTTCTGAAACATTAACCTCATTGAAATAAAATGTCAGTTCTCTGCTTATATTACATTTTTTTAGATCATACTTATCTTGACTAAAAATAAATGTACTTGATGGAAACAATTGAGAAGGCAACAGTGATATCAAACGTATTTTTCAAATCTTTAATGTAAAGCCAATTAGAGTTTATTGTATGTAAGAGCTGCATATGAGATGGTTCCTTGCATAAATAACCCAAGAAAAGTAAATTAGAAGTAGATGGACATCCTGTGGCAAGGGGGAGTGGGTCAGCCAGGAAATACTATACCTAGCACATTCGATCAGAGCTCAAAGGAGATAAAAGCTGTTAGTAGACAAGAAGTAGCGATAGGTGGAAGAAGCGTCCCACCAAGCCTGTTGCCACAAGGTGGCTGTTAAAGCACTGTAACAACCTAAATATCATCACTTCCGCCCCTCTCAGGCTCACGGCCTTTGTACTGAAGACATTCTCCCAAGCGCGAAGATATATCTTCATCGATGAAGCCCACATTACCCAAGCCCTCTTCTGGCTCTCCCAGAAACAGAAAGACAATGGCTGCTTCAGGAGCTCTGGGTCACTGCTCAACAACGCCATGAAGGTGAATTATTCCAGCACTAGTTTTGAATTGTTTGTTATGATATCTGCAAATGTGGTAAGAACAACTAATAATGTAAGGACTTCTGAGAGAAGGCATCTGAGGAAAATAAAATGTGGGTGTAGCCAAGAAAGAAGATATGGAACTTAGATTGGCTGTGGCACTTGGCCCAGAGGGGACCGATACGAATGCCACAACACAGAGAATAGAAAGCTGATCGGTGACTTCCTTGGAAGCTGAACGGCTCACATCTCTTCCTCTTGCATATTCACAGGGAGGAGTAGAAGATGAAGTCACCCTCTCTGCTTATATCACCATTGCCCTCCTGGAGATCCCACTTTCGGTCACTGTAAGTGGCAGCTTTCACGCACAGAAAAGATAGATCTGGGTGCAGGGAAAGTGCTCCCCCACTCTCTGAAACATTAACCTCCTTGAAATAAAATGTCAGCTCTCTTACACAATGCTGATGCTTCCCAGATCAGCAGAGAATTTGGTCAAATCATTAAGAAAGATTTATACCTTCCGAATGATGACTTCTGGCTATTTCTCCCCTTACTCTCTCTCTCTCACACACACACACACACACACACCCCAAAAAAAAATCGTAAAGATTTGAGCACTATTCCTGCCTTCTGAAAATGAGAATAGCAGCTAAAGATACTATACTCTCTGTTGGTAAGAATGACGAGTCACTGTGCAAATGCATTTGCAAAACACCTTTACCTCCTGTGCCTCAGTGCGTGCCTGGGTGCTCTTGTTCTTGTACAGCATCCTGTTGTGCGCAGCGCCCTGTTTTGCCTGGAGTCAGCATGGAAGTCAGCAAAGGAAGGCACCCACGGCAGCCATGTATACACGAAGGCGCTGCTGGCCTATGCCTTTGCCCTGGCAGGGAACCAGGACAGGAGGAAAGAGATCCTGACATCACTTGACAGCGAAGCTGTGAAGGAAGGTAAGAGCACACCTGAGCCACCTGAGTCCTATGTAACTGTATTATGAACCGCAATGCAAAGGTTCCCCATTCTTATCTCTGTGGTCCCCATCCCCACCCTTCCAAACATATTTTTTATAAAATCTAGGATTTCTTAATAAAACCAGACACCAAAATATAAGAGGGTGCAGGTGTAGCAGTAAGAAGCTCAGCCTTTGGGGACTCACTCCAAAGCACATTACATCCCTGATCGTGGGCACATCGTCCTTTGGTGTGTGCTGAGATTCCCTCATCAGTGAAATGAGGATTATAATAGTGTTGACCTCATACTGATGGTTGTGTAAGTGATTGGCTGCTTGCAAAACGCTTAGTATAGTGTGGGGCACATAGTATAAAAATAGTAGCTACTGTTACTGAGACGTTCAGTTCCTAATATATACTGAACCTCTACCTCCTGTATTGTATCATCTTAAACATAGGGAAGGATAAAAGGATGTAACCCCAGAAGTAAGTTCTGATGTTTTAATCACATTTCACAAGAGTGATAATGGTGACAAACCTATTCACGGTCACATATCTATATGTACCTTGATCTACGTGGAAGGAGGACTAACAAATAGAAAATAAAATGCAGATGATAAGCCATCCAATAAAATATAGCCTTCCTTTCTCATTTAAATGTGCCACTGAATATTTTAAATATATTGAAAAACATTTCAGATCTCTAAAAAGGTATAAGTAGTAATTAGAAAACACCTGTACAACTCCTTTCCAGCCTAAAAAATAAAGTATTAGAGATACAGGGGAAAAAATCCCATTTACCTCTCCACTTACAGAGGTAATCATGATGCCGAACCTGTCGTTACAATTTCCATGAATTTCCTTTTATGTTTATTGTACATGTACTCCTAAATACTGTTCATAATCTTAATAGTCTGCTTATCTTTAGATATCCATTATCATTCTGGGGTATTTCCACAGCTTAGATTTTTGTGTTGCTCCTTATATTTCAAGTTCCACATTGCGCTCCCCAGAGTAAGTGCGCCTGTTAACTTTAGTTCTCCAATTCTCACTGCGCGGGAAATACTATAATACATAATTAGGTCTTAATGTGCACATCAGGTTTTTCCCTGTGGGCTTTTGCTTGGTATTTTTTGCTCTCACAAGTGGTGCTGCAGTGCGTACTCCTGTCCCTGTCTCCTCCTGCGTGTATCTCTCTCCAAGTTGCACTTGGAGAACAGCAGTGACTGACAATACACTAAGCGCATCTTGGCCTTTGCCGGAGCTTGTAAGTCATGCTCCAAGGAGGAGATGGCCTCCCACAGCAGCGTCTATGGGCTCCCATTATGTTACACACCTGTTGGCTTTTGGTTTTTAAGAGTTCTTCTAGAGGCTGGGGAGATGGCTCAGTGGAATAAGCGCTTCCATGGCAAGCGCAAGGGTGTGAGTTCAATCCTTGGTTCCGGAAAAAAAAAAAAAAAAAGAGTTCTTCTAATATCTTTTCAATCTAATGGCCATGAATGCTATTATATGATCTAGGATCTTAACAGAAAATCTCTAAGGACAGGGAATTTAACACAGTCTTGCTAAGGTCTAGATAACATGGGAAAGAGGAAGTAGACACCATCAATGAGAGTCCTTCTGGGTCATTTCTTTATCCCACTAACCCCACTGCAGTACAGATCTGAAAACACAGATGCCTGTAGGCTCCCACTTCTGGCAACATTACCCCCCTTAACTTTGTGTGCTGAAGCACCTGAGTTAAGGTTTACCTGTAAGAAAAAGCATCTCTATAAGGTATGAAAGATTACAATTAGAATGCAGCCCTTACTTCAGCTCTGGCTTGGGTTCCTTCGTCTTCGATTAAATACAAATATTTAGTAACTTGTAAAATAATCTTTTTTCTCACACTCAGATAATTCTATCCACTGGACACGACCTCAGAAACCCAAGGAACCAGAGGGACATTTATACCAGCCCCAGGCGCCCTCTGCTGAGGTAGAGATGACGGCCTACGTGCTCCTGGCGCACCTCACAGCCCAGCCGGCCCCGACCCCAGAGGAGCTGACTTCTGCAGCGCGCATCGTGCAGTGGGTCATCAGGCAGCAGAATTCCTATGGCGGCTTCTCCTCCACCCAGGTAGGTGACTCCCAGAAACTGGTACTTCACCTTCAGGCAGCGAAAGTTGTCAGTATGTTATAAACACATAGAAGGAGGAAAAAAAGTTGTTGACAATAACTTGAAAGGTTATTGGTATACAGGTATAATGAGCAACAAGTCAACAGAGGCTGAAAAAAGGGCTCATCACAATGTCCCATTTTCTTTCACAACTCTGCCTTCCTGCAGTAGGAGTAGAGCGCCAGCAGAATGAAAAAAGAGAAACACCTCTCCCCACTCTTGGGTACATTTCAGTGATCTCATCACATTCAGACTGTTCTCAGAAGCTCAAAATCCAGCAATCTCTCCTAGCAAATCCCTCCTGTCTTCCTGTGCCCCTTCAGGTGTCCCCACCAAACTCACACACAAATATTTGTTCACTAAGAGAACAATGAATTGTCCGTATTCCTCCAACCCCAGAAGCCTACCTGCATAATCATGTACCTATGTAACTCATTAATAGGTACCCAGTGGGAGGTTCCATCCTCAGAGAATGTAGCTGTCAGCCTACTTATTCTAAAAGAGAATATGACAAAATGCCATCTTATCTTTTTCCCATTATATTTAATCTCTTATTTTTCCATGTAAGTGAAAAAAGTTAAATGATTTTCATTAAAAGCAGTTCTCATTCATTTCTTAGACATCTGTTACTTAAAAGCTATCATTCAGACTGAATATCAAAGAATATTAAGAATATGGCACAGATGCTGGGGAGATAGCTCAGTGGAATAAGCATCTGTCTGGCAAGTGCAAGGTCCCTAGTTTGATCCCCAGTACCAAAAAGGAAAAAAATATATATATATGGCACAAGAAGGTGGAACCACTGGGCACAAGAATTGATCCGAAAGAAAGGGAGAGCCCAAAAAGAATGCCATGAAGCCCAGAAGATAATCATTATAATCGTCTTTTACATCCTCTGGAGAAATTAAAGCATAACCCTGATATGGCTATGAGAAAACTTGCACTGTCTCAGAACACAGAGGAACAGGATTCCTTTGGGGAGATGGCAGATTGCACTTTGGTGGTGGCATTTTGACCACAGTTGCCAAGAAAGACATCATAGACAAATAGCTAATGCCGTATATTTTTCACATCCCATAATCCACATTAGAGAAGAAAGGATAAATTTTATTTATTTTTAAAGGAAATAAAAATAGTAAAAATATTAGAAACAATACAGAATTTCATGAAACAAAATAACAGGAATTCAGCAACAGTTGTTACATTGCATAATGTTGTCTTCAAATTAGTTGCTTAGATTACAAGATAAATTTTCTAATGAAATAAATTTCTAAGACATACAATCCAAGGTATATATGAATACTATGTTTCCAACATCTATCTAAAGATTGTAATCAATCTTGAAATTAGAACCTAAATGAAGTAATGAGGGAAATGGGATATTAAAACTCCTTTATAGTAGTCAGCATGGAACTTGGAAAATATCCCAGACTTTGAGGTGCATTCTTATATGTATTAGTCTGTTTTTCATGACTATAACAAAATACCTGAGATGACTAACTTGATAAAGAAAATTGATTTAGTTAGCTCCCAGTTTTAGATGCTGACTGCCTGAATAGCATGTCACCGGTGCTGAGCACCCTCCTCTACCTCATGGCTGGTAGCAAAGGCAAGAACAGAAGCAGAAAAGATCTCAAAGCAAGAGGTCATAGAGCTCAGTAGAGTCGCTCTTGCTTCTCCTATAACAACTCTTTCACAAGAACTATCTCAATCCCTTCCCATAGCATTATCCTCAATGACTTATGGATCTCCTATGAGAAGGGGCCGGGGAGATAGCTCAGTTGAATAAGTGCTTTCCTGGCAAGTGCAAGGTCCTGAGTTCAATCTCTGGTACCACCAAAAAAAAAAAAAAAACTTTTCTCTTAAAGGTCCCACTGCCTCCCAGGAGCACCCCTTGGTAGCTAAGCTCCCAATGCATGGACACTGGAGGGACAAGCTCCTCCCAAACACAGCAGTGCCTGAAAGTTCTCTCACTCCTCTCTTCCAGGACACAGTGGTAGCCCTCAATGCTCTCTCCAGATATGGGGCAGCTACTTTTACAAGGACTGGGAAAGCTTCCCAGGTGACCATCCAGTCTTCGAACGCATTTTCCACCAACTTCCAAGTGGACAACAACAACCGCCTGTTGCTACAGCAGGCATCTTTGCCAACAGTGCCTGGAGAATACAGCACGAAAGTGACAGGAGGGGCGTGTGTCTACCTCCAGGTGAGGACCTGCAGGAGTTTTTCTCGGCCTGACTCTGCAAGCAGTAGGGCAAACTGAGGAAGCTGAGAGAAATTCAGAGCAAGAAAAACGGCATTTTTGTCTTTACTGTCTTGTAGACGTCCCTGAAATACAATGTTCTCCCAGAGAAGGGCGCATTCCCATTTGCATTAGAGGTGCAGACTCTGCCTCAAGCCTGTGAGGAGCCCAAAGCGCACACCAGCTTCCAGATCTCACTGAATGTCAGGTAGGATTCATCCTCTCTGTCCTCTCTTCCATGACCTATTAATTTCCAACCTCGTCATTTGAAAGTTAATACTTCCCCTCCATAATAAGTAAAGAATATCATCCCTGGTCCATGAATGGAATTATTTTCTAATGTAATACAATATTATTCTTTGGTTATTCAGGACAGAACTCTTGAAAAGCTTAAAGAGAATGAAGTAATATTCTTATTGGCATTAAGTAAATGTCAGGTTATAGGAAAATATATTTATATGTAACAATATTCAAATAGCTATAGCCCTACAAAAATACACATGAATTTTATCATTTGGTTGGGGCATTACTCAGAAAAAAATCAAGAGGAAGTATCTATAATAAATAGCTGGCCTAGATTAAGAGCCTCACCCATGCATCACTACTAACACACAGATCCTCTAAGAGCACGCACTTGAAGTTTTAATTCTGCAGCTCTATAGCACGGCTGGTCTCTGGCCTCAGTAGGCTCTGTGCAAATTCAGATACATCCCGAGTTTTCTGAACCGTTGGAGCAGGATATCTGGGAAGACTAATTTGTACTTTCTAGCACTATTGAATATTTTGCATGAACACAGAAAGAGAGAGTATTTAATAACAGAAAGAAAAAAAAAAAAACGCCCTACTTCCTTCCTCCCCTGGATCTGCAGTTACACTGGGAGCCGCCCTGTCTCTAACATGGCAATTGTTGATGTGAAGATGGTATCTGGTTTCATCCCCCTGAAGCCAACGGTGAAAAAGGTAGGTTTGTTCCACACATGGATGGCCTGTTTTTATCCACTGTTTTATGTAGCCCTGATGTCTTACTTGCTTTTCTCATTGCTGGAATAGAATATACATCACCCACAAGTTAAAGAAGGAAAGGTACATATCAGCTCACAGTTTGTAGAAGGTTTCGGTCTGTAGTCAGCTGGCTGCAAAGCAGGGTGGCAAGGCAGAGGGGCACGTAGAGAAAAATAGTCCATAGCAAGCAAGATGGAAGGCGGCGGTAGCAGCAGGCCCACCTTCTGGTCGCCTCTTTATGTTCCATTCAGGCTCCAAGCCTTTTTTTTTTTTTTTTTTTTTTTTTTTTGGTGGAACCGGGGATTGAACTCAGATCCTTGCATTTGCCAGTCAAGCGCTTATCCTACTGAGGCATCTCCCCGGCCCCGGCTCCAAGCCTATTGATTGCCCACTCCCAGGGTGGAGCATCATTATCTACACCCAGAACTATGCTAAACCCCTTTAGTTATCACACACCCTTAACCCTAGCATCTCACACCCTAGATCCAGCCACCTCCAAGAAACCCACTCGTGACCAGTGAGGCTTTGGGGGGACATCGAGGAACAAGCCACTAACACCAGACTAAGACAATACTAATATTAAAATATTTACAATCCCACACTAATGAGGCTGAGGCAGGAGGATCACTGTGAATTTGAGCCCAGTCTGGACTATGCAGGGAGTTCAAAACCTGCACAAACTGTATAAAGAAAAATAATTCAGTTGACTTCTGTCAAAGACTTACATTTTCCCCAAAATCAGAAATATAATTTAGCACAAGTATCTGAATCCCCAATGTGAGCATTGCTTTCTGCTAGAAGCCAGCGGTCCCTGCTTCTGGGCAGCTTAGAGTCCCAAGAAGATAAAGCATGTAAACACTGACCAGAGGAAAAATGTAAGAATGACTGACATAAGTTATGATAAATGCTACAGCAGTGATGGAGAAAATGAAGCTGCCGTAATTCAGAGCAAACACAGGGGGCAGGAGGAGAGCCTCCTCCACTAAGAAATACAGTGTGGGAGCCCAGTCTGGTGGTGTGTACCTATAATCCCAGCACCCAGGAGGCTGGGGCAGGAGGATTGTGAATTTGAGACTGGTCAACTTAGCAAGTTCGAGGCCAGCCTGCAAAACAACAAAACCCTATTTCCAAAAATATCAACTAAAAGAAGGAAGGAAAGATAGGAGGAGAGAGAAAGGGGGAGGAAGGAGAAAAGAAAAGAATCCTGAAATACGAGTAGTTACCAATTACTAATTTGTGATATTTAGTTCCATCGTCTTCAGATAAATAAACTTCACTCTTGTGTCATACGCCATATGAACATTAAACCTTTTATCTAAATTATCCTTTGGGGTTTTTCTTCTTTTTTTTATGTATTTGGTACAGGGTCTCACTACGCAGCTCAGATTTGTAGTGATTCTCCTGTTTTCAGCCTCCCCAGCTTTGAGTTAATAGGCATGAGCCACCCTGCAGGATCTCCATGGCCAGCTCAGTCAGTGCACCCAGGGGTGGGGGAGTTCACTGAGCTATCTCACCGGCCCTATCCTTTGTTTTTATTTTTGCTATTTTATATTTTTACTTATAAAAATCATGCAAGAGGGGCCAGGGAAATGGCTCAGTGTAATAAGCGCTTCCCTGGCAAGCGCAAGGGCCTGAGTTCAATCCCCGGTTCTGAAAAAAAAAAAAAAAAAATCATGCAAGGGCATTCCACTCTCAAGCTTACTCTGCACATCAGAAAATCTTTCTGCCCCTCTGGATCCTCTGGGTTTCACTTATTTATTAACTTTTATCTCATTTTTCTTTAGCTTGAATTGTCAGCACATGTAAGCCGAACTGAAGTCAGCAATAACCATGTCTTGATTTACCTGGATAAGGTGAGCTGTGCGGCTATGGTGGCAAAAAAATGAAAACAGATAATTTGGGAATATCCATTCCATGCTAGAAATTTATGAACTCTAATATTAACTCCAATGCATGCTTTCCACTCTTTTAGTTACATTTTGTCTAATATTATGAATAGAAATGACTTCTTATAATCCTGGAACATAAATATTTCTAAGATTCTTACAAGCAAGAAATTACACACAAGAGCTGGGGCAATAACTCAGTGGTCTAAGCACCAGCCTGGCAAGTGCAAGGACCTGGGTTCAACCCCTGGTACCACATGCCATGCCGGCCACCATATAAACAGTAACAACTCTTGGCAATGATAGAGTTATATGAGTCAGGTCAGTTATTTAAGAAATAATTTGCCTTTCGGCCGGAACCACCATCTTCCAGTAATTTGCAAGAGGAGGGGAACCCAGTATATGTTTTCCAGGCCTTTTAGAAAGCATGAGGTTGTTCCTTTGGCTACATACATGCGAATCTACAAAAAAGGTGATATTGTAGACATCAAGGGAATGGGTACTGTGCAAAAAGGAATGCCTCACAAATGTTACCATGGCAAAATGGGAAGAGTCTACAATGTTACCCAGCATGCTGTTGTCATTGTTGTAAATAAGCAAGTTAAGGGCAAGATACTTGCCAAGAGGATTAATGTGAGTATTGAGCATATTAAACACTCAAAAAGTCGTGATAGCTTCCTGAAACGTGCCAAGGAAAATGATCAGAAAAAGAAGGAAGCCAAAGAGAAAGGTACCTGGGTTCAGCTGAAACGCCAGCCTGCCCCTCCCAGAGAAGCACACTTTGTGAGGACCAATGGAAAGGAACCTGAGTTGTTGGAACCCATTCCCTATGAATTCATGGCCTAAACTGGGGATGTTGCTCTACCATTCAGCACCTAATTGGCAGCTTAAGTGTTCTAGGTCCTATGTAAAAATAAAATCATCCTGTGTTGTAAGGGTGGTTTTCTTAGTTGAACAGGTATGTGGTGCCTTCTTACCTCAGAAATACTTGCAGCAGATTTTCACTGTACCCAGTAATTGTGTCTACCCTTTACTCTTCAGTATTTTCTTGCTTAAAGATATTGCTGAGGTATTGTGCATGTGTATACCCAAAAATTTAAATATTTATAAAGTATTTATATTGGCTTGAATATCCAATTATCATGAGGAAAAGATGCATCAAAATAAATGGAAGTCACTTCAGAAACAAATTTAAGTCCATTTCAGTTAAATAAATTATTTAAAGAAAAAAAAAAGAAAAGAAATAATTTGTGAAAATTTTTGTCTACTCTGAAAGCTTTCTACACAGTGTAAGGGCCCTCTATGGTCTTATTACTTGCTAAAGTTGGTTTCCAAAAAAAAATAGACAAATGCTTATTATTCATCTAGCCAAAGAGAAGGCAAGGGCCAGTGAAATAGTTCAATGGACTAAGCACCTGCTTAGGCAAACACAGGGATCAGGGTTCAAACCCCAGTACCACATGCCCTGCTGGCCCCACACTCAGGCATGCTCAGCTGGCCACTGAGACCAGACATGGTGGTGAGGGCCTATAATCCCAGATCTGGGGAGGCTGAAAACAGGAGGATCACTACAAGTCCAAGCTGCATAGTGAGCCCCTGTACCAAAAATATAAATTTTTTAAAAATGAGAGAGAGAGAGAAAGCAAAGTTCCCTGGAAGGTCATTCAACATCATTCAACTTCCTCTTGCTTTGTAGGTGTCAAATCAGACCCTGAGTTTGTCCTTCTTCGTTGTGCAAGACATAGAAGTAAGAGACCTGAAGCCAGCAATAGTAAAAGTCTATGACTACTACGAGACAAGTGAGTGAGAGTGGTTGTCATGCAGAAATTAAATTCTGATGTAAGGGATGTGTCATGGATTTATTACATGACATTCTTTTATAGCTTTATTTATGACTACATTAAGTATAATTCTCTACTTTTGTTTTTCTATGCCCACATGGTAAAAACTACTTATATGTCTCAAGTGCTAACACACAAAACTACAGGATATTTTGTTCCTTTTTGTTCAGAAAAAACAGCTGTAAATAATAAGTGATTTAAGCAAGTATAACATCTGAACTATCTTTCAGTTTTGGGGAAGAAAAAATGTAAGATTCTGTACTTGAAGCGCCAGATGAGATAGCTAAGCAGACTAAGCGCCTGCTTAGGCAAGTGTGGGAACCAGAATTCAATCCCTGGCACCACATGCCATGCAGGCCCAGCCCCCAGGTGCACTGAGCCAGCCACCAAGTCTGGGCATGGAGGTACAAGCCTGTAATCCCACTGTTGGGGAAGCTGAAAACAGGAGATAGGAGTCCAAGCTGCGCAGTGAGACTCTATACCAAATACATTAAAAAAAAGAAAGAAAGAAAGAAAAAAGAAAAGATTCTGTACTTGAAAGAACAATAGAAGGCAGCAAAGAATGTAGAGTTATGATGCTGACCTTTCGGATGCCGCATAGTTCCTCCTACATGGAAGATCCCTTCACAGACTTCCTGGAGTGAGTTTGCATTTGTTTGTTTTGCAGATGAGTTTGCAGTTGCTGAGTACCACGCTCCTTGCAGCAAAGGTAAGCAGTGCACAGTCCCTCAAGATGCAGTCAGGATTTCTCTGGCTTCTCCCCCAGATCTTCTCCTCGATAAAATTCTGTTGAAATGTTCTTTGGAGTTACCACATCGCTCACACTACATACTTGAAAAACCCATGTACGGGAGAGCGCCAATGACCAGCAGGCCTCACAAGTTCACTGGGCTATTTATTGGGCCCGCATCCACAGCGGAGTTCATTGTCCACGACGCTAAGCGGGTTTCCTTGGCCCTACGCCAACCAGATTTAATAGGAACGTCCTCTGCTGATGGAAGCACATGTCAACTTTAAATTTTCTTTTCTTTCCATTATCACAGATCCTGGAAATGCTTGAGATCCCCACACATGAGAGATTCCTTCTTTGCTGGAGTCCGTGTTCTTAGGAGCTCACAGGAAAAAAGAAAAAGTGTTTTTGTATCTCAAAGATTTCTTCAAATAAACATTTTTCTTATCAAGCCCTATCACTGTCTCCTCATTAGTTCCACCATCGTTATTGCATCTCTGTAAGATGCCAAACAGATTCCTAAGGAAAACATTACAAATAATTAAGAGCTGAGGGGATTCAAAGTATTTAAAAAGTTTTATTTATAGAACTAGAGAAAATAAAATCCATATGGAATCGGAAGAGACCCAGAATAGCCAAACCAACAGAGAAAAATAAATAAACAGAGCAAGCTGTATTCCTCAAGCTCTTGAATGGAATTGAGAGGGAAACAGCACTCCCAAAGTCATTCTCAGAACCTCGCATTATCTAATTTTTAAAAAAGAACTATAAGCCAATTTTTTTAATGAACACAGATGCAAAAACTCTTCAGAATGCCAGCAAACAATGCAATAATCATCAAAAAGACCCTATCTCATGACAAATAGAGTTCATCCCAGAGCTGTGAGGATGGTTCAGTACACACTGATGGGTAAATGTAATTCATCACATGAACAGAAGCAGGGACAAAAATGACACCATCGGGCTGGTGAGATGGCTCAGTGGTCTAAAGCACCTACTTAGAACAAGCTTAGCAAAACACAGGGACCGCGGCTCAATCCCCAACAACACATGCCAGCCAGGCCCGCCCCCTGGTGGGCTGAGCTGGCCACACACACACTAAATAAACAAATCAAGACTTGGGCTGGTGAGATGGCTTGGTGGTC